TCTTTTTCTCAGGCCGGCCTGTCTCTTCTTCGCGGGCTGCCTTTCCACGGATTTCATCCAAAATAGCCCGGTGACCGGCCTCCACCATTTCGATTTCGACGAGATTCCGCGCATCCGCATCTTCGGCCACCCGTCGCCAGCGAGTCGCCCAAACAATCTTATCGCGGTTGGTGACTAGTTTGGCGACGAGGTCGGGATGGTCGTAATTGAACAAGTCCATGAGGTCGTTTTCGACGTCTCGTAGCGGCTTCTCTGCGCCGTCTTCTCCCTTGCCACCCAGTATCTCAAGGGCCCCAGTGGCCTTCTCTTGCTGAATATGGGCATCCGAGTAGGCGTTTCCGATCTGGCGCTGGAGCCAGTAGGCGTCAATCTCCCGGGCGGGGACATGAAGACCTTTGTCTCGGCGATCCTCACCGCGAGACAAACCACCATCAATGACCATTTCCTCGGTGCCATCTAGGTTCTCAAGGTCCGCCTTCTCGGTTGTTGTCTCATCAACACCAGGTGCGTCTTGTTGGTCCGCTTCTTCTTCATCCGAGTCTTCATCACGGACTTCATCGACGGTACCAATGCGCTCGTCGTCTTCGTCCTCTTCGTCAAAGACAACGGCGACACCTTGTCGCTCATCAAGCTCTTCACCACCCTCACCTTCTAGGCCACCGTCCATGTCTTCGTCGTCGTCCTGTGCATCGTAGTCGGTGATCTTCTTGCTCAGGTTCATGAGCTCATTAAATTCCTTAGGGTCCATGGAGCTTCCAAGCAAATCATCCACCTCCTTCTTCTTATCAAACTCCTTCATTTCTTCGTCTTTAAGAAGTTCCAGAACGGCGTCGGCGGCACTTCGAACGACTTCGTGCGGAACATCGCCAAGATGGCCGGCGGTTGTGGTGAGGATGAGATCGTAGGTAACGCGAGTGGCAGGTGTGCGAGGGCGATATTTCAGGCCTTCAACCACGGCGTCAGCAGCGGACAGGATGCCCTGACCCCGTAGTTGAGCCGGTTGGCCTCGTTGGCGTTTCTTCTGTTCTCGGGCGAGCACATCTTCTCCCTCTCGAATGGCGCCCCGTTCGATATCTGTCGGCCCAACAGCCTTCTTTTTCGATTTCGGCGCATTGTCGCGTGCGACATTACCACCCATCTCCCGAATGCTGATGCGACCTGCGAGGGATTCCGGGTCTCCGGTCGGTTCATCGTTGACGCGAGAAATAAAACGACGGTCCGCCTGGAGAACCAGGTTGGACATCGCCGAATATTTGTACTGTGAGATATTTTGGTCCGCCATTTTGATTAAGATGTAATGCGATTAAAAATTCCACAAATGAAGAAAAAAGAAAGAGAAAATCGTGTCACGACTTCTGCGAGTCGGCCGGGGAAGGCTCGGGGGAGCTCTGGGATCAACCGGCGCGTCGAGACTCCTGCGACAAGAAATGAATTCTGGGATGAGTAAATATCTTCTGATAGGCTTCACAAACCTGAAGCATCCTCCTGCAGCAGGCAAGCTCACTTGGTGGTGTAGGGTCGCAAGCTGCCTGAGATTGTTGCGTGGAAGTGAAGGAGTTGCGTCGAGTGTCGGGAAGTTCTGTCTAGCAGATTTCGGTGGCGAAGCGGGAAGGTTTGGCGAGTGGCAGCCTGAGGTATACATTACTCCCGCGGCTTTGGTCCTGCCAGGAACACGGAACAATCCAGACTCTCTCCAGACTCCTCCGCGACAACTCTCGTTTGGGGACCATGCGCCTCAATGGCCCTTCTATCGCTCGGCTGACCTCGCGACACTTTTACTCGACCGCTGAGATCAATGTCTCTCATGCATATTGCTGCCATGCGCGTCCCACGATCAGTCACGGTGCCGCCCGTCCATCGCTGCGCGTCGCGACGCCTATCCCGACATCACCCTTAGCATTCAGGAGAGGTGCAAAGACGAAATCAACCGTGAAGCTGAAGGACCTTCCACAGGGAGCGCTCAAATTGGAGCCATATACCGATACCGTCGACGATGCACCACGATATCCAACAGTCGTGCAAGGGCACAGGAACAACATGCAGAAATTCAAGAATTGTGTCATCTTGACCAGAGTAGGAGGCTTCTACGAGGTACGGATGACACTGCCAATACGGCCCAGGAATTTCCAGCAAGGTGAAATGAAGTAAATGCCTGACCAGATTCCAGCTTTACTTTGAGCAAGCCGAAGAGCTGGGCCCTTTACTAAACTTGAAGGTTGCTTCGAAAAAGACCAGTGCAGGCCCCGTTCCCATGGCGGGGTTTCCGTTTTTCCAATTAGATCGCTTCTTAAAGACACTGGTGCATGATCTCAACAAGTACGTAGCGATAAGCGAGGAATTTGCCCCTAGCACGGATGACAGGACACGCTCGAGCGGCCTTTTGTTTGATCGGAAAGTGACCAGAATCATCACCCCTGGTACGTTAATTGATGAGAAGTTCATGGATCCTTCAGAGAACAACTTCTTGCTGGCTATATACATCGATATCTCGTCGTTGCAAGCACAATTGGGACAACAACAGGACGAATCCTCATGCCAACATATCCTGTCGTCTGCATCGCAGCATGTAGGCCTATCCTGGCTAGATCTCTCAACGGGTGACTTCTTTACCCAGCTTACCACGGCGCAAATGCTCCCCTCCGCTATTGCGAGAATCGGCGCGCGTGAGATAGTTGTTGATCAAGACCTCCAGGATCTAGTTGGGCAGGAGTTGCAATCGCTGATCGGACACGACCAGCGCCTGATGACCCTTTTCCAGTTTCGCGAGGGGATCTTGCCAATGTCTCAGTGGGGTTCCATGTTAGAAGCCCCCATCGACGCAAAGGCAATGGACTCATTCACTCAAGAAGAAGTGGCTGCCGGTTCTAGCCTCTTGGAGTACATCAAAGCGCAACTTCAAGGTTCAAACATGAAACTTCAGCCCCCGCGCCGTCGGCACTTGGACGAATCAATGAACATTGACCGTAACAGTCTACGAGGCTTAGAAATCCTTGAATCTGCTCGTGATGGGTTTGGTAAAGGCAGTCTGCTGCATGCAGTTCGCCGCACGTCGACCAAGAGTGGAGCACGTCTCTTGAGAGATCGTCTTACGTCTCCGTCCACTTCTTTAGAGGTAGTCAATGAGCGATTGGATCTTGTTTCACTCTTTATCACCGATTATGAGCTACGTGACAACGTAATACAGCTACTCAAACGGAGCTACGATTCTCAACGCTTAGTTCAGAAGTTCACCCTGGGGCGAGGGGATCCCGATGATCTGATATGTCTGTCTCGGGCTATAGAGGCATCGAAAGAGATCAGAAGGGTTATGTCCGTTTCTACTTACCAAGAACACACTACCCCTAATGCCTCTAGCCTAGTGACGATGATTAACCGACTGCATCTCGACGGACCATCAGCGCTGGCAGACAGGATTTTGGCGGCCATTGACGAAGAGGGTCTGCAGCAGAAGCAGCGAATCGACGATGACACGGCTGCAGAGGCGGCCACCCTGGCACAACAGGTGGCCACGACTGAGGGTGTGCCGTCGGATCTGGAGGCGCTGCCGAAGAAAGTTAGAGCGAAGAGCAGCGATCGATCGAATACCGCGACCGACGAGCCTTCCGATGTCGAATCCTGGATCATGAGGCGCGATGCAAGCCCAGCGCTCCGCAGGCTTCATCAATCGTTGGCGAGCTTGCAGGATGAGAAAATTACTCTGACCCAGACACTCCGTGACGCGGTCGGGTCGGCCGCGTTGTCGCTCAAATGGACACCTGGCCTAGGACACATTTGCCATGTCAGGGCAGCTAAGATTTCACAGGAGGCATTGGAGGAATTGGGAGTCACGCGAAATGTTTCCTCAACCAAGTCCACACGATCTTTCTACCTCCCTGCCTGGACGGAGCTCGGCGGACGAATCGATCAGGTTAAGCTCCAGATCCGACAAGAGGAGCAGGCAATCTTCGAAAGTCTACGTCGGGAGGTAATTATGAACCTTGTGAAAATTCGGCGCAACGCGGCGGTTATGGACGAGTTGGACGTTGGGTGCTCCTTTGCGACGCTGGCAGAGGAGCAGCATCTCACCCGTCCGATTCTCACACATGGAACAAACCACAAGATTGTGGGCGGACGACACCCGACGGTCAAGCTCGGACTTGAAGAGCAGGGCCGACGCTTCGTCAGCAACGATTGCTTTCTAGGGGGGTCTGAACGCATCTGGCTCGTCACTGGGCCCAACATGGCCGGCAAAAGCACTTTTCTCCGCCAGAACGCGTTGATCACGATTCTCGCGCAGGTTGGGTCCTTCGTGCCCGCCGAGTACGCGGAGATCGGAATGGTCGACCAAATCTTTAGTCGGATCGGGGCCGCCGACGACCTTTTCCGGGACCAGTCGACATTCATGGTCGAGATGCTGGAGACCGCGACTATCCTGAAGCAGGCTACCCCTCGCTCTTTCGTGATCATGGACGAGGTTGGGCGCGGGACGACGCCGGAGGACGGAACGGCGGTCAGCTTTGCGTGCCTGCATCACCTGCATTATCGCAACCAATGCCGGACGCTGTTCGCGACCCATTTCCACTCCCTTGCAGATATGACGCAGGACTTTGAAGCGCTCGGTCGATACTGCACGGACGTTAAGGAAACGGCCTCGGGGTCGTTCTCCTTCGTCCACCGACTCCGCAAGGGAGTCAACCGCGAGTCTCATGCGTTGAAGGTGGCTCAGCTGGCCGGCCTGCCCTCGGAGACCATCGATATGGCCCATGCTGTTCGACAGAGCATACAAAGAGAGGTGAATATCAATGGGGAGGTTGCGTCATGAGACCAGACATGCTGGGTTTATTCCATTGCTCGTGTCCGTGCATGTATATATACCTGTATGTACAATAGCATCTGTTTCCACTTGTTCTGTTCAAGATACCACTCAATTTAATCTCGGTTCTCATTTCAATCCTCCAACATTCTGATTGACAGATACCCTTGCTTCTTCTTCCACTTCCCATCACCGCATTCCCACTTTCTTAGAGCTTCGCCTTAACCACCCCACCCCTCAAAGACCCTAACACCGCATCCCATTTTAACTCCACCACCACGCCCTCCCCAAACGCCGCTTCCTGACAATCCTCATCCCCAACGCCGTTCACAAACTGCGCCACCAAAAAATCCACCCTCCGCTTCCCCACCACCACCATCGGCGCATGCCACGTCCCAGCCCCATACGTAACGGCCTGTCCGCCACGCGCCACAAACGCCCTCAAGTTCTGCAGATCCGGCGGGTCGCGGATCGTCGTGGAGCCGGAGTCTGTCGTCGCCGTGATGGTCTGGCCCTTGAGCGTAGGGGCTACGATGACGAGGTAGTACGGTTCTTCTTCTTCTTTGTTGTCATCTGCCCGCCACAGGGGTCCTTCAGCACTAGATCTGGTGCTGGCCTGGCTGGACAGATCGATAGGAATGAAGGTCTGCGTCGTGAAGGGGTGACGTTCAAGGATGCGGACGTCGAACACGGGCGTTTTTTGCGATTGCGATTGCAACCTCGCCCCATGCGGGGCAGAATCAATCGTCCGAAGCTGTCTCGGAAAGCAGCAGAACATGCTCATGCGGGCGGAGGCGGCGCGGCCGCTGGGGCAAGCACCGGCATATTGGTCGAGGAGCGGAGACACGGGGCTGTATTTTAGGGCGGAGGACTGGTTGGCAAGTTCTGGGGCAGGGTGGTGAGGCGGGAGAGAGGAGAGGTCTGCTGGTGCTGCGGAGAGATGGCGGGGAAGAGGCGAGACGATGGCGGTGCCGAATGGGGCGAAGGACTCTGGGGTGAGAGGTTCGGGGGTCAGATGGAGGGTTGGGTTGGAAGGGAGAGTTGGTGCCATTGTTTTGGTGGCGATTAGCCTGTGGGAGTATGGGTAATATGGAAATGTGAGGAGATTGTAGAAAAACAAGACAAGGACCAGCCTTGTAAAGTAGGTAGTTGGGGTTTAAATAGCGAGAGAGCAATCGCTGAAGAATAGCACATCCATCGGCAGTCGCCGTGGAGCCGGGGTCATAGTGCCAAGATTACGCGCCAGCACCGAATAGAACTGTACGATGAACTAGGATTAAGTAGAGAGACTAAGATATTGTGCAAGAAAGATAAGACGAAGAGATTCTCCACCTCGAAAGCTCCCTAGGAGCTCCGTCACATGATCGGTGCAGTCCGATCCGGAAGAGGCCGATAATGACTAACGTCCACCGTTTCGATCGAGTAATAAACAGACACTTCGTCTCTCTCATATATCCCACCATTTCGATTATGTACGTCGTACATATGTCCAGATGTCTCTATGTCCATATGGTCCGTAGATCAATCATGTTCCACTTTGTCCCCCCTCAGAGTTCGGTCAACGGAGTTTCCGATTGACGCTCAGCCGGCGCCTGTTTCTCCTTGAGCCCCGTCTTCGTCTCGACGTGTTCCTGGCTGAGATGCTGCTTGGTGATGAACGCGCTGGCCAGGAACCCCACGGCCGCCAAGCACGCATAAAGGATCCAGATGTTGTGCATACTCCATGCATATGCATCTTTGACCGCCCGTCGCTGCTGCGGGTCGTCCAGGGAGCGAATGAGCATCACGTTGGCCGCAGCCTCAGACCCCGTCAGCTCCTCCATCATCGTTGATGAGAGCCCCGAGGCCAGGAGCGCAGACTTGCGCTGGTCCATGCTGTTCTGGAAGACCACACCCCCGATCACCACCGACATCGCCATGGCCATGTTTCGGATGAAGCCGAAGGTCGCGGTCGCCGAGGCGGTTTCGTCTTGACGCACGTTACTCTGGAGAGCCAGGAGGGGCGGGAAGAAGAGAAGTCCGCATCCCATACCGGTCGCGATCTGGTAGCCCACAATCTTGCCAAGGGACGAGGTGGCGTCGTAATCGATGAATAGGCCGGTTCCGAGTAGGACCAGGGTCGTGCCAGCCCAGACGACTTCGAGATATCGGCCAGTGCTATGGATGATGAGACCGGCTGCCAGACTTAGGGCAGCCTCCGTCAGAACGAAGGGCAAGATCAAGAGACCCGAGCGGAAGGGATTTGCCTCTTTGGCAGACTGGAAGTAGAGCGGAAGGTAGTATTCAGCCCCGAGGAATGCCTGCGCGCGTTGTTAGAAGCAGATGTACATTTGAACCAGATTGATCGACACTCACAAAGCCATGTGTGAAGGCCACGAGAAAACAGGCAACGTTTGATCGCTTCCCAAATATACCCAGTGGCATAAGTGGATACTTTGCCAGGCGCTTCTCACAGTAGATAAAGACCAGGGTCATCAGGCATCCGAAGACGATCAGGCAAATAACCTTGGGCGAGTCCCAGGGAAAGATGTTTCCACCAAAGTCCAAACCGAGGAGCACTAGGACCGTTAGCCCTAAGATGGAGAAGCTGCCAAACCAGTCAACTGCCTTGAGGCCATCTAGAACCCCAGTCCTCGGGTTGTGAATATCCAAGAACAAGAACAAGAGAACAAAGGCGGTACCGCAGATGGGCAAGTTAATCCAGAATATCCATCTCCATGAGATTGACTCGGTAAATGAACCACCGACAAGAGGTCCTAGAGCACCAGCGATTGCCCAGATAAACTCGATGAGTCCGAGGAACAGACTGCGAAGTCTAGAGACATTGTTAGCCAATCGGTTCCGGGGCGAGTTCTACATCGGTGAAATTGTGAAGTTGGTCGTACCTGACACTGAAGAGATCGGAGATGGTGATTGTAATCAATTGAATCAATCCGCCACCTGCTATGCCCTGTACACTGCGACCTGCGATCAGCATCGGCATGTCAACTGCCTTGGCGCAAATGATCGAGGCGCCGAAGAATAGGGCCACCGCCGATAGGAGAATCGGCTTGCGACCCCAGATGTCCGACAAGTTGGCCCAGATGTTTGTACTGGCAGCATTGGCGATGAGATAGGCACCTCCGATCCATACGTAGCCCGTGCCCGAGTGCAGCTCGGCAGAGATTGTGGGCGTCGCGGTGGCCACGATGGTTTGATCCAGAGCAGAGATGAACAAACTGAGCTAGAATCGAGGTCAGTAATTTTTTCCCCGGAGTTTTCTTATCCGTTGCCCCTTTCTTGTTCGAACAGAATTCCATCTGCATCCTCTTTAGGGCTTTTATTGGGATGCTATGCAATGAACGTACCGAAAGGGCAACCATCGTAAGGAAAATTTTCCAATGACTGCGAGTTTTCTCCGAACCCATTATTAAGCGATTTCCCTGCGCGCCGTCTCCTCTTTCGGGCTCACTGGAGCTCATATTTTCCTCTGCGCGCGTATTTTCTCCGAACGGATCAGAGATTGCCGGTTGGGACACCTGAGGCCTCGAGTCGTGCGTCTCGCAGCGAGTGACGCTGTCGTGATGCTCTGAAGGTGCCATCTTGCCGGGCAGTCACTTTCCCAGTCAGAGAGAAAAATAGGGGGAATAAAGCAAGTCACCCGGGATCAGTCTAAGATAAGTCTCAATCGACCAAGACGAATAAATCTGCTGTCTCCGATTCCCCTCTGTGACTCCTCATGTTTGTACCGTTTGACGCGATCTGCGGCCTCGCGGCCTAAGGCCGCAGCCCATTCTTGACTCTTCTGATTGGTCTACGGATGCCCTCGATCTATATAGAAGAAATACCCTGGATGCTCGACGGATCTAACAGTGCTCGGTAGTCATTATCTTGGTGGTTCGGCTGTTTCTCTACGGATTTCAGAGAGTTGCGGTACAAAGTGACTTTCCTACAATTCCTTCCTACTGTGGTTGTGTATGCGACTCACCTCCAAGAAAGGACTAATCTTTGTCAAATTGCCTTGTATGAATGCCTCGGTTTTAGATTAAGCTAGCGGTGATAACATATCGACTGCTCCTTTACTTCATCCTTTTTAAATCAAAAGAATGAAGTGTCGATGTCGGGCGTCCCAGACACACAGGTAGACCGTCAATTTTTGATTTGCACCGGGCCTCGCTCATTTGACCAGGGACCTCTCAACGGGCCTACTCCCCAAACACGAGCAATCATCATCAGACCACTAGTGGTACGAGGTCTCACTTCGGGTTTTCATGTCGAAATGAAGGATGTAAGGCTCGTTCATGTTTGTAATTGGTATCGGAAACCCTCTAGCCTTATCGCAGCAGGCACAGGCCGGTGTGCAGTGGCCCACATTGCCTCCCCGAAGGAAGCGCGGCTTCTTGCAGCAACCGCAATCTCTGAGACAACATCCGTGTTTCATTTTATACTCCCACTCCAAGAAGGGTACCGTATCCTGCACGGCGCAGCACATTGCTGAGTAGCGCGCAACGCCCGCAGAAACGGACCATCCCATTGGCGCAGATGACTGTCCCAACTCCATCGCCATGCACTATGATACTCCATATTCAGCGCTACCAATTCGTTCTCGATTTCCTCCAATTTAGCGGGATGCTTTTCGGCGTCTTTGCTTTGTCGTGGATATATTGTCGCCGCCGTTCCTTCAGGGCCACCTTTCGCTGGGCCACAAAACGCATTCGATAGGTGCTCTGAAGATATTCGTGAAACGCCTGCCACTTGTCCTCAGACATTCCCAAGATTCTATGCTGACGCTTCCGTAGCTTCTACGCATCTTCCCATCGTCCTAAAGCCTCCAGTTTATCTTCTCTCTTCTTGAGCAGAGGTAGTATGGAGCGCGCGAGTGCCCATTTGACTTCCGTCCACATCGTGAATTTTATACGTGGCAGGTTCCTTTCTTGTTTTCCCACTATTGTTTGCGTTGAGTGTAAAATGGTTAAATGCAGTCGCTCCGAGAGTTTTTCTGGCTTGAATTTATGTAATGTCTTGTGAGGCGGGGGAGCTAACTTTGCATGGATCTTATAATTTGCTCTTTAGTCCCGTTAATCTTTCCACCTCTACGAATTTGTAATAAAAGTCCAAGCTCTGAGGGTTCAGCAGCGTTCCTGACGCCTTGATCTTCCTCCCAGATACAATCTGCTTCACCGGTAACTCGACCTTTTTCAAATTGACCGTGGTCTGTATCATAAAGTCAGTCCAATAATCAAGCCCATGCCCTTCCTGTCCACGTAGTAAGGCCTAGCAGTGTAATAATGGAAAGGGAAGCAACGTACCGGAATCTCAGGCGTCTCAAACACAAACTTCGGCACATGTCTCGCGCTCAACGCCTTCCGGATCGCTTCTTTGACCCGTCCCACCAACTCCCCTGTGCATTTGAGCTCCGGTCTCATGAGCAAAAACAGCATTACGGACTCATCGCTGTCCTGGGGTCGCCGCTGTCCGACACAGATCGAATCCGCTACTTCGTTTGAAAACTGCGTGTCGATTACGTTGTAGATCTCGCTGGATCCGAACCGGATGCCGGATGGGTTCAGGACCCCGTCGGAGCGGCCGAGGAAGAAGATCTGCTTAGTGATGGGGTGGATGCTGATGAAGTCGCCGTGGGTCCAGACGTCTGTGGTTGGGGGTGGTTGGTTAGTGCTTACTCATGGTTCGAATGGGTTGGTGTGGGTGAGGCAAGAGTGAGGCAAGAGTGAGAGAGGGGTGAGGGAGTGGCGTACTGTCAAATCGCGCAAAGTATGAATCAAAATATTTCTGGGCCCCGTCATCGCCTAGAAACTTCACTGGCATGGTAGGAAACGCCGCGGTGGCTACAATCTCCCCTGGGGTTCCGTCGGGGACTTCAGTGCCTTTTACCCCTGAAGCTCCCTCCTCGGCCTGGTCAAAGACTGCGATGGGGATGCCGAGACTGGGACCCTGGCAGCCGCCGACATACAGAGGTGTGAGTGGGTTCTCGATCCCGAAGCACGCAGCCAGATCCGTGCCGCCGGAGATATTGGCCAGTTGGGCCTGCGCGGGGAATCCCTCGTCGTAGAA